TACAGAAACACATACAGGAAGGAGTACATAGAAAAATGACAAGCCTAATAATATCTGGTAGCCGGGTGAGAGAACAACATGATCATATGGTTCTTTCTTTTTCATTTTTCTTCTGCTTTCACTGTCTGTAATGCTAAGGCAGTTTTTCTTTCAGGTCTCAGTGTCCTCATGATTAAGCAGAAGGGGTGGTATTAGATCATCCGCACTACCACTGCCAAAGTCTTATGAAGCCAACTCTCTATTTAAAGCCATACTTTTTTAATGGTAATAAAATCTTAAAGCAAAAATGGACAGCATTAAAATGTGATTATAAAATAAGAGTAAGCAAATGGCTCTTGAAAAGGCTAAGAAGTCCATTCCGCAATACAATAAAGTTACTGACTACATACAAACACCCATATCTGCTCCAAAGATTTTGAAGGAATTTTACAATACAAGCTAGTCCAAAATTTTGTTTTGTTGTATCACCAAAGAAAATGTAATTTATATGTATAGAGATTGATATGGCCCATAAATTGTCTTTCACATATATTTATAAGCCACCTGCAATTTATGTAATATAGTACAAATAAGAATACATGGTTGTATCCATAAAAGTGAAAGGGTTAGTAAAAATGATTCTTTATAGGTCGAAATGGGGAAATGAGTTTGACATATGTCACACAATTTGGTTTCATAAGCCAACCGTGAAAAACTTGACTCAACTTGCACTTTCATGGTAAAATTTAAGGTTAACAAAATACCACTCCAGAATGTTAACCTAAGATCAAGAGGAAAAAAAAAATCAGCTTACTTGTAAATTAAATCTGTGCTTCATAACAATACTAATAAAAATAATTTGAAATATTACATTTTCAAGCAGCAACTAAAAAGGGAAAAGATCTTGAAAATTGTTTTAAACTATTTAAACTCATTTACAAAATGTATGTAACATTTTCCTAGTTGGGTTATAAAAGCAGAAAGAAGTATATAAACAAGATCCTGCATAAAACTTTAGATTATTCATTATTATATATGATATCCAAAAATCTATAATTATCACAAATAAATAACTTCCTGTAACATAAAATCCCAGAGTAAAACAGCTGTTACTGCCTGATTATTATGTATGGAAAAAGATTTCAAACTGCATAGCATATGAATAACAAGTACAAAATAACATGAACTTGAATGTCAAATGAAAAGGTTGCAAAGATGAAGTTTGCTCATTCATAAATGATGTTAGGAAAAAAAATCTTCATTTAGGATATAACACTTGTTTGTCTTTACAAAACACAAGAATGTCAAATTCTTAACAATCCCAGTAGCATAAAACCAAATTAACCAAGGGAACATGAATTTGAGTTGATGTAAAGATTTTTAAAACCATAACAAATGATACAATCATTTACCTAATCCAGGGCTGCCAAGAAAAGGATTGTATTACTAGATGGAACGAACAGCTTAAGAAGTACAGGTTTCCGTTTTCAATCCTAGTATAGTAATATCACGCTTATCTAAAGGGATCTTTTTGCACATAGTCAAAAACCAGGAAGTGTACCTGACTTACTTCCCTAATTTTCTTGATACCCAAGATGTTAAAACATTTATTACCCAATCCCTCACTAAGGACTTATTTATGCTAGTATTACAGATATTCTAGGCAACCTTACTTATCTTGCTCTTTGACCCTCTGTAGATGAGAACTGGCAAATAAGATATCTTGGGAGATGTGTCAGCACTCCAAAACAAATTTTGTGAACAATTATTTCTGGCTCTGTTTTGAGAAAATTTTGACTTCTAAATGTTAGGTTTTTGTTTTGTTTTCCTTAAAGTACACTGTGCTGCCAGAAAGAGCATCCTGCCAGGCACGGGAAAGCAGCTTGACAAGAAGAAAGAAGGAAGACATATGAAGTGTAGACACAGAGGTGACAAAACATCACACAGGGCCAGTTAGCATAGGAACAGATAAGTCTTAACATCCCAGTAGCCTTCAAGGGCAAGGTTAAATTACAATGGATTATAATAAATAATGATTCTGATATTTGTAAGTTACAACACAGCATAGCAAGTAAATGTAAGATATGTGTCAAAATGGTAATTAAAGATTGGTAAAACAAAGTTTTGACTCTAAAAGAAAGTACTTGAATAGACAACTGCATAATAGAGTATGCTGAATAAACAAGTGACTGAAGAGTATGTAACCACAAATGACATTTCTCAGCAGTGGTAAACTGCTTCTTATGGGAATCGCTTCTAGAGAACTGAAAATTAATTTAACAAGGCATCAAAAACATTTTCATCTTGAAGGAGAGGATCTCTAGTTTCCTTAGGAGACAAGACTGCTACAGACTTGCTTAATAAAAGTTACTTTAATTTTACATGTTTATATGGAATAGTACAATAATTCAATGAAGCATGTATATAATATGCAATGATGAAACCATCTCCTTCAGCATGAAAACACTAGAAATATCATCATTCAGGGTAGAAAGCAAGGAAAAAAACACTCTGGGAAAGAGCAATAACTTTTTGATTGGATTTGAGGCTCAATGAAATGAAAAACATACCTGACACTGCAAAAGTGAACAAGAATCCAAGACCAATATGGTCATGGTTCTAGGGGAAAACCTACTATTAGTCTCTGAAAGGAACATTACAATGAAATAAGTCCTAATGACATATTGATATACCTACCCATAGATAAGTGTACAATTCAACTCCTCATCTGAGAAGCTTCTTATTGAAGTAGATGGTTAATTACAGACCCATAATTGGAAAATGCATAGAAAGTAAGAGGTTTACATCAACCTTCCCCTCAAGGCTAAGGGATCTATGTAGAAGAGGAGATGAAATTGTATATATCAGACAGAGGTGATAGATAACTCCTAGGAAATAGTGTGTCCAGACACAATAGGGATGATGCAAACATGAACTCACATAGACTTTGGCAGCACATAAACAACTACATATACTCAAGCCAGACAAAAATTCTAGCACTAAAAATGGAAGTAGACTCAAAGTCCAACACCTAACCAAGAAGCTATTTGCAATTAATACCTTATAGGAAATGGAATACGTTTTCTCTAACAGATTGTCACTGAGTTTATCAACCACACTCAAGGACAGGCATCATGCCCAAGAATAGCAGGCCAAAACAAAATGAACTTGTTCTTCTTTTGTATTGTTTGAGCTTATTTTTTTTTTTTTTTTGCATTATTGGTCATTTGTTTGGTGGTTTTTTGATTTACTGTGATTTTTGTTATTGTTGTTTTGTTAAGAGGAGAGGAAGTTGGATGGATAGGGACGTGGGGCATATCTGGGAGGAGCTGGGGTAGGGAAAATCCATCATTTTTTAATATTAAAAAGGAAAATTAAAATGTACAATGTTTTGCTACATGTAGAATCTGTAACCCAGTGTATTTGTAATATATCAACAATCGCTGCCATTTACTATATACTTTGTTTTTGATAGACATTATTATTAATTGCTTTATAAACATTCAGAAGCCCACAAAGTGGGAGGGAATCGTTGCCAACTCTATATCTGGCAGAGGATTAATATCCAAAATATAAAGAATGTAAAAACCAGAGTTAGTGGTCTTGAGATCTAGACAGAGTTTTAAAAAAAATGACTAAGAAATATCTTTAAAAATGTTCATTTTCTGTAGCGATTAGGAAATGCAAATCAAAACAACGTTGAGATTTTGTCTGATCAGAATGGCAAAGATCAATGTAACAACTGAAAACCAATGATGAAGGGGCAGCAGGAAAAAGAAACTATTATTCACTGCTGTTAGGATTGCAAAGTAGTCCAGCCACTGTGGAAATGAGTATGGAGAACCCCCAAAAGGCTATATAAATAAATCTACCCCATGATCTACCTATATAACTTCTTTACATTTGCCACAAAATGTTACTTCCTACTCTAGAGATACTTGCTTAACCAAGTTCATTGCTGTTGTATTCACAACATTTAGGAAATGGAAACAACCTAAGTGTACTTCAACTGACAAAAAAAAATTGTGGTACACATACTCAATGAAATACTACTGAGTTGTAAAGAAAAATGAAAACATGAACTTTGCAGATAAATGTATGGAACTAGAAAAGACAAAAAGACAAATGTCACATGTTCCATCTAATGGGTATTTCTTGAAATACAACAAAGGAAAAATGATCAAATGTTACACTCATGTATAACAGTTATACATCACAATAATCTAGAAATAAATATCCCAGATAGTAAAAAGAATTATGTATTGTTATACTTTGAACATGAAGTGTTTGCCAAAGTTCTGTGTATTGAACACTTGCTTCCCAGCTGGTGGTGCTTTGCTATTTTCTAGAAACTTGAACTTGCACCTACCTAAAGGAAGTCAGACAGAGAAGGGAAACCCACTTCTCCTTAGGATACAGGGTAAATGTTAAGCATTATAAAAATCAATATTAGGATTAATGGCAAATTCTTTAATTCTAAACGTTATCACTCTTGATCTTTATTTTCTGCAAATAGGCAAAGAAACTGTGTTAAAGTAAACAATGACCATTTAAAGCTGAAGATGTGGCTAAGTTCCAGATCACCTATCATATATGACGCTGTATGTTCAATTTCTAGTATGATAAAAGGGGAGAGTGGGTACATTTTTGAAAAGATGTACATCTAACATTCCTTGCTTCCATTCATCATATTGTAAGAAATCCTAGCTAGAACAATCAGATAAGACAAAGTAATAAAAGGTATCCATCCACATTGGAAAAAGTTAGGAGTTATAAACAGTCACTGCAGATGACAAAATTTTCTATAAAGAACCTTCCCAACATTAAATAACACATTGTACCTAAACAGTGTATTATCATACATATATATTTGATATATATCATATATCATGTTGATATATATATCTACATATATATATATGATATATATATCAATAAAAACTTTAATGACTAAAAGCATTACAAGAACAGAGAGAGAGAGAGAGAGAGAAAGAGAGAGAGAGAGAGAGTACTGTGCTTACATGTGCCTTTCATGCATGTCATTGTTGAAGAGCATAACTCAATGACCCGAACAGAAAAACTTCCTGGTCCTTTTGCTGGCACTGTCAAAATGGAGATCTGAAAACCAGAACAAGTAACAGAAATAACTTTTAGGTCCCTTTTTATATTTCTCTCTTTAGAACACTAACTTCATAGTTCCCAAATATCCTTTGATGTTTGAAAACATTTTGCTTATACTGATTGCATTTGGAAGTAAAATGTAAAACATGTAGCACACATATGTCAATATCCAATTTTGTCATTATTTAATACTCATGTTTGTATAATTCTCATAAACCATGACTATTTCAAATCTTTAATACCAATTCCATTCATCAGATGTCACATACTACTTAAAGGAATACAATTACAATATTACTGTTTGTACATAAGCACTCTGATCCTTGAAACCAGATTATATTAATAGGTGGCTCAGATTACATGACCATCAGATCAATATTTCTCTTTAGAGCTGCAGTTTCAGTATTAGTCCCCAGTGAAATCTACTATCTGAGAAGTTTATATTCTCTTAAAGGAAGTGCTAGTGAAAGAGAAAGCCCATTTTTACTTTTCCCTGCATGTGCTCTGCTTACATTTTGACTGGGAATGCAAAGAGGATGAGACTACAATACAGTTTTAAAAGAGAAATGGTCTTGATAGTAATGACTATCCTATTTGCCATCTATTCAGGGGCTTATGATATGTCAAAAAAAGTTTGCCATGTTCCTCGTAACTCCCCTTGCTGCTATTAAGGACAGAAAATGTGCTTTAGCACCAAGGTGAGAAATCACCAAGACATTGAGCACTATGAAATAATGAAATGACTGGGACTAAAAATATGACCATAATTGAAAACATTCCTTTAATGATTCTATCAACATGGAAGAATTTCTGGTGGTTCTTGCAATTATCATAATTTATTACTGAGATACAATCAGTATTGTTCTATTGGAGCACCTCCCTCACCTGAACTCCTAGAAGTCGACTGTTTCAAGTACGGCAGAGGTTTTAAAGATGTTAAAGAGTATCTCCTCAACTCTCTGATATCACCATGAAGTTCACTTGGACTGTCCACCTGCTTCTTTCCCTATCCTCTAATTTTCTTAGTTCTACTTGCAATTCAAACTGAAGCTCTAAAGATAGGTGGGAAGAGGAGGGAAAAATAAGAAAGGAGGGAGAAGCTAAAGGAAATAAAGGAATGTAACTTTGTCAGTTATGTGGAGGATGGATTTCAAGAATACAGATGTGAGGCAAGTTGACAAGTTAGAAGGTACAGATTGCAAACACGGAGACAGTAAAATTCACTACAAGAAAGGAAAGGACTGAGACAACTTTTAGGAATTACAAGGAAAAGGACCCTAAGGTGGAGAAGATGTCAGAGAAGGAAGTTTGTGAGACTAAAAGTTCAGTTCTGTCCTGGAATCCAGTTGCAGAGAGGGAGGAGAGATGAGCAAAGGGGTTAAGAACAGGCTGGGGAAACCCACAGAGACAGCTGACCTGAATAAGGGGGGAGGGGTTCATGGACCCCAGACTGAGAGCTGGGAAACCAGCATAGGACCAACCCAGAAACCCTGAACTTGGTTCTCAGTTAGAAGGCCTAGGCAGTCTACAGGACCTCTGAGAGGAACCAGGATTTATCCCTGGTGCACAAAAGGACTTTGGTAACACATTCCCCATGGAGGGACACTCCAGTAGCCTAGAGGCAGGAAGGAGGGCTGAGGCCCTACCCAAAATGACTTGACAGACTTTGATGATCCCTCTTGGAAGGTCTCATCCTCCCTGAAAAGTGGATGAGGAAGGGGAGTGTTGGGTGTGTGTGTGTGTGTGTGTGTGTGTGTGTGTGCGCGCACGCGTGTGTGTGTGTGTGTGTGTGTGTGTGTGTGTGAACTAGGGTTGATCAATTCTGTTCTCAGAGGCAGAGAGCACTCAAAAAAAAAAAAAAAAAAAAAGCGGTTTGAGGACAGAAGGTGATAACCTCAGTTTTAGTGCCTATCTCTTGACAGCCCCCCAACAGAACTTTGGCATGGGGGCCTGGCACCCTTGGGCCTCCAAGAGTAGCCTCCAGCATTTATGTGGAGTTGAGACTATGGACTGGAAAGCATGAAGTCTTTTGAGTGTGCAGGAAGAAGGAGGTTACCTCAGACAAGAAGACACAGATTTCTCAATCACTTTTGGGATGCTGTACATTCATCATGTGTAGTAGGTTACAAATTCAAGTTCCTTTGTGTTTGGCAGCTTTCTTATTTTACCCAGAGAAACAAGGAGATGAGCAGAGTGGGTTAGAATGGGAAGACAGTTAACTAGTCATTAAGGTGACTGATCAAGCGAACAAAAGCGAGTGTAAGAATTTGTACAGGATCTAGCTGACTGGAACTGATACTGCAACTTTGTGGGAGGGTCAGTCTGCTTGGTTGTGTAGCTTTCTCAGTGGCCTTCAGTGATACTGATACAATTAATAGCCAGATTCCTGTGGAAGGCCCTGGTAACATGGGAAAATAATGTGTCAGAAAGAGTACCCACCTTGGCATCTATGGCAAAGGAAAGGAAGAGGACTTAAGAGAGATGATAAAAATCCAAAGGAACTTAGGGGCAATTCTATGAACAGAAAGAATGGGAATAAATGATTAAAAGAGATGGGAGAACTGGGGCAGATTCATGATCCTGAAAGTCTATAATCTTCAGATTTAACTGAATCATTGACAAATGCTCAAGAAAATGTGCATGTGCATGAATATGTGTGTGTGTGTGTGTATCAGGCCACTCCATATAGTGATTACTATATATCTATCAGGTTTGAATTGCTTATAAATCTCACACTTTGGTGAGGACTTCACCTTGTAATTTAAATAATGGTATTAACCAACTGTCAAACTTACAAACCAATAGTCTCATTTTCACCCTCTTAGTTTAACACACCTCACATTTCTAAGAGCAATGCTTGATGTGGTTACTCTCTGACTTTTGTTTGAATTTCAGTTCATTAATTTCTTTCTTGCCTTAGCATCAACTCTGCTGACTCAATTCAAACATCTAAAATGCATAACAACCTTTGTAAAGAAAGCCTCGCTCACTTCCACATCCCTCTTCAGAGATGAATTCCTACATCGCATACTTTACAGCTTGCTCTGTTCATAGTTCTGTCTCCCTGGCCCCCTCAGATGTATTCACAAAGCCTTTACTTTAATGGGAAATCTAGACACATCAACCAACACTGGCAGACCAATGTGATGAGTGAAACATTGATTGTTATATCATTTCCTTAAAATAGACGAGGCTAATCCTTGTTGCACAGAACTGCACTTCTAAGTTGTCTATTTCTGTGCCTCTAGGCTGTGTGGTATTTTGAAGGCAAACATGCTATCATAGTTATCAATCTCTCCTAGGAGGCCAGGACTCTCTGGCTGCCGAGTAAAAGGCACTTGTTTGCCAACTACATGAAAGCTTGGTTTTAGAGACTTGGTATACAGTGGAAAAGCTATGGTTACTAATACTATAAACTTAAAACCTGCTAAGAGTGAACTTTCGCTATTCTTGCTACAAAATGTTCTGTAAAGATAGACATGTTAATTAGTTTGATTGTAGTAATAATCTCACCATGTACATATATCTCTTTTTAACAGATGCATCTTTTATTTAAAAACAAAAATAGAAGACTGAATCACCTGTTGATCTGAATCCGTTTTTAGTACAGACCCGTCTGTAATCAGGACTGCCCTGGATATCTGCCTGCAATGCACAAAAGAGGAAAGCAGTGATTCAGATTCTATGGTTAAGTTTCATTTATTGTTATGTAACCAGCAGAAGGCATGTTTCAAAGATTTAAGAAAGGATAAAAGTGTCAAAACCCAGTCAAGTTCTGCTTTAATCTTTTCTTGGCTCAAGAAAGAAGGATGTATGACCTACAGACAAACTCCAGCTGACAAAAAGGAGAAGAAATTCTGCTAGGCTCCCTTCAAAACAGAACCAAGTAGGGAAGAATGGTAAGAAATACTTATTATACCTTTGGTTTGGTATACCTTCACATGCTACTTGACAAACAGAATAATGAGAAGGCTCAACAGAACCACACGACTAGAGGTGCTCCCTTCCTTTGACCTTACCTGTACTGTACACGGGAACATGTGTTCTCAGAAAGGTAACTGTCTTCAATAACGAAATGCTTAGAGATTATTCTTTGACCAAACTGATCTATCATTGCTTTACATCTACAAAGAAGATAAGCATAGAAAAAAGATCATATTAATGATAAAGTAATTGAGAAAATAAAACAATGACCTGCTGATTTTGAATTTGAAACCTTGTAAAACTTCAAAAAAAAAAAAACCAACTACTCTGCATTTGATGACAGTGAACTAGAAATATATTTTGGTTGCTATTCTGACATCTTTTAAACTATAAATGTATGTAAGCTGTTACTTAAATATTTATTTTGATTGTCATTAGTCTGTAAGTGTAAGGCCAGCAAAGTATTATTTTGTAATTTCTCGCTTTCCTCACATTTAGAAACATAGACGCTATTCCTTTGTTTAGAAAAAAAAACCACAGCTTTCTTCTTTCCACCTTTAACAGTTCAAGAGAGAAAGGAAAGCTGATTAAATATCTTGTTGTATCATTCGTAGCCGCTAAAGGCGACTAAAGGCTTTTTATTTTTCTGTTAAGTGTTGCTTTCTCTTTTGTTCAAGAATAGCTATCTGGTCACACGTTTGATAATGTTTTAGGCAGAAAAAAAGGGATAGAACATCTTTTAATACCTGTTTCCACTTTACTTCAAAGGATAATCATGGAAAGATTTCTTTCAAGTGCTGTTTCCAAATAAGGAAAACACTTATGCACAGACATTATCAGGTCTCTGTCATCTGATATGTGTTGGGACAATGAATCATATAGAACCCTCCATTGACCTTCTTTCAATGTGTCTAGATAAAAGGATGAAAATTAGAATCCATCTCCTTGCAGTGCCACAAGTTATAAATGTACTTTATAGGGCTCATTATCCAAACTAATGGACTAAGAGCAACATCCTTGAAGTGGACTTACCAGCACTGACAAAGACACTATGCAATATTTCAGGAACTATATGCAAATGACTGTATGTTTGCTATATCTTTTTATTATGGAAATATCAATTTGCTTTTTGTCACAGCTTCTTTTGATACAGGAAATATTTTATTAGAAATACACTTTCCTCACAAAAATGCAAACGAATGATTTTTACACTGATATCATATTTAAAATATTTTACAAAAAATAAAGTATCATCAATTGCTCGAAACAAGCCAAATAAGGGATTGATTACAGACATAGTTTGAATTAAAAATAAAATGACCACAATCTAAGACCAATGGAAAAAGGGAATAAACTTGTATTTTACTGTTATTATTGAATAAATGTCATACTGCTGCTGGCAGGTTAGACTACTACGGCTAGTGATGTTATGTAATACTTATAAATAATTCATCATATTTTAATATAAATCTGAGCTATTAGTATTTAAATGACTTCCTCATCTTGCTTACACTTCAACTCTTCTTCATTTCCTGAAAATAAGAGCTCACCTTAACTACAAAATACTTCACTAAATTAAACACAAAGGACTTACACCAAATACTGACCAAGATAACTTTTAAGATAACTTTTAAAATATCGAAAGATAAGTTTGTTTTTCAACCTCCTGTTTTGAAGCATCCAAAAGCAATTTGGAACTCAAAATATTTGAAGGAATGAGAAGAGACAACTGCTGAATTGTCATGACACAGTGATTATGCTTGTCCTGTAACCACTGGCAAACATTTCTTACTTTCAACTAAGAAGCTACTGAAATTGAAGAAGGAATAATGTAGGCAGGCAAATAAAAGGGTTTCGGGTGAATTTTAGTGATATCTGCAATTTACTGTGGAATGCATAAAAGATTTATCAATAGATGGCTTAAGAGGTTAATAACTGTGAAGATAATATGAATAAGCAAGTATACTACAATATTCATGGCATAAACTGAGCAGAAGATGTAAGAGGTGTTCACTTTAAATTCAATGTTGGCAAAGGGTTTCAAACTTTTTATCATAAAATGTTGGAATGAAACTGAGAAAAAATGTGCTTTTCATATAAATCTTGAACCTCAGTGCATTTTGAACAGGCTCCTATTATCAACCAAACCAACCAAGCAACCATCCATCCATCCACTCGCCCACCCACCCACTCACCCACCCACCCACCCATCCATCCATCCATCCATCCATCCATCCATCCATCCATCCATCCATCCATCCATCCATCCATGCAAGCAAGCAAGCAACCAACAAACCAACCAAATGAGTGAGCAAACTCAGATATAAACCTAGCCCTCAAGATTACAGAGTCTTTCCTCCTTAGTTGGCTTCCAAAGACTGATAGGGACCCTTTGATGATTGGCAGGCTGGCTATTTTGTTGTTGTTGTTGTTACAGTATTAGAAAGAATTAATACCGATAACCCAGAGAGGAAATAACGTGGTATGGATACACACATGCAAGCTCAAATATGCAGGGATAAGATGCTAGTAAATGTGCTTGTTTATGCAGATGCTTCAGATAAAATAGTGACTTCCAAAGGAGGAGGAGGAGCAGGAGAAGGAAACAAATCAGAATCACACCTGGGGGACTTTTTCAAATAATAAGTACCCCTGGAGATTCTGATAAGCTTCCAAGTCCCAAGAAAGAATCAAAGTGAAGCTTCTGCTACTGCTGCATCTTTATGTTGCACTGAAGTGAGAAAAGTGAAGAGGTACTACTGATAGAAAGAAATTACTCACATGTGTACAGAGTGAGGTGACCATTACATATGCCCAGTCTTAGTCTGGAAGATGGTAACAACATGACTCACCCACTAGACTCATTCTTACTTTGAAGTACTGAAGCAGTAGTCCTAAGCAAAGCTGTGCAAACCAAGACATGTTAAGCAAGAGGTAAGATTTGTTTTCCCTCAGATACTTGACTTATTGCCATATATTCAGCCTAATTGGGAGAACAATGAAGAACGGCTATTGATTTGGGACCTATTCTTAATCTTTGTATTATAAAGATTAATATAAAAATTAGATGACATTTGCTTAATGGAAAACAACAAAATGAAACAGTGCTGCCAGACACATTAAAATACCTTCCTCCTGCCTCCTCCTCCCACATAAACCTGAGGAAGCCATTAAAGATTAACAGCATCTCAGACTTAGCAGAAGGCCTTGCTGAGCCTCATAAATAGTAAATTGAGAAGGAACATGATAGGAGTTCCTAGTTACAGGGACACAATGACCAAGCTGATCATAAGAATCACTGAAGCTAGACAGAACATTTCTTGGGTAAGACTTTCTAAATCAACAAACCACAACACTTACTCAGTTCTTGGTTTATTGATACAAGAGCATAAATAGCAAAATGACAATAAGGGAGGGGAAAAACACAGCAAGTTTAAAATGAAACATCTGGAACTCAGTCAAGAGAAAATAACAGTATTAACAGGTAAGCAATTCCTTAGATCATCAGAATTTAAAACTGCAGGTAATAACACAGTATGGAAATTAGAAATGAAATAATAAAAAAGAAAAATATTAGTTATGGAAATGATAATACCACTAATCATGGAAGAAAACAAGACAGGTTTTTCTATTGGACATAGCTTGTGAATTAACTTAAAGCCATTAGTTCCAATTTTATATCTTTCAGAAAACTGTTTCAAAATGTTTCACAATGGTATTTTTGGGGTGACCATCTACTATAATCATTTAACTAACAGAATTTGGTTTTTAGTTGTTGCTCTGACCTTTTCATAAGATATGTATATATCTTCCTAATTATGTACTAATTTGTTTTCTTGGTAGAGTCTACTTATTCTCCTAAGAATATCTAATTGACAAATAAAAACTATATATATATTTAAGGAACACAATGTGATAATTTGACAAATGTATAAACTGTGTAATGAATTAAAGGATAAATTAACACATCCAATTACCACCCACAATTTCCACTGGGGTTCATAAAATGCTTAAAAACCTGCTCTTATCAAATTTCAAGTACACAATGACATTATTATTACCTACTTCCTTTTTATATCTAGCTTGGCATGCTCCAAATTGACTTTAACTACACATCTACTTTCCTTCCTTGTAATCTCTCTATCAAATAAGGCTATGACCTGCAGTTATAACTTTCCCACCCAAATCTCTACTACTGTACTAGATTCCACCTTAAAATATTTTTTGTAATTAGTGTCTTCCCCTCCCCCATACCAGTGACACTGCCTTAGGCTCTGGTAGCATTTAATAAGGCAGTGGGCTGCTACAAAGCTGATACCTCACTTAATTAACATAGAAATATGGCAATTAGCTGTGCCAGGTAGGCCAATTAGCCTACTGTTCCAATAGGTAATAATGAAGATACAGACACAGGCAATTTTAAAATAGTACTGCTCAGCAATAAAAGGTAAGGAAAAAGCCAGGCAGTGCTGGTAAACTCTCTATTAATTCAGCATTTAGGAAGCAGAGGCATGCAGATCTCTGTGAGTTCGAGATCAGCATGGTCAACAAAGTGAGTTCTCGGACAGCCAGGGTTACACAGAAAAGCCCTGTCTCCAAACAAAACAAGAATGGTTAAGAAAGGTCATTAAAGAGTAAAAAGGGTGATATCTAACTCAGCTTTGAATGTATGGGCAGAGTATCAGGAATTGTAGTTTGGGAAAAGTGATTCACAATGTTTGTACAGAAACAAACATTTACAAGAATGTCTTAGGTACACAAACTCACAATCACTTCAGTGTTACCTATTAAGAAGGTAGGAAACAAAGAGGGAGAAAGAAATGAGTGTCAGGCATCACCAGATGCCCCTATAAGGCTGTAGAGTTTATTTGGAGATTGGGGGGGGGGAACACCACGGAAGCTCTTTACAATTTCCTCTTCATAGAAGAGCCAGATCTGTGAACCAAATAACTATAACTCTCATTATAACTCTACATTAATTGTTGTGTAATGTCTTCCAGTGGACTTTAAACTGCATGAATACAAAATCCTCATTGTCTTGTTCTCATCTGTATTCCAAGTGTTTAGGACATAGAAAATAACTAATACTTTCATGAATGGGAGATTGGATAGATGATGGAAGTATTTATTCTGTGCGAGTGATTCTGGAGGTAAAGAGTATCTTTGCATGACATTCCTTATTCCGAAATTACACCATTTAAAAATAGGGCTCATAAGTTACACTTTTTGGCAAAGAGTGAAACACAACAGGCCTTCTTCCTTTCAGGCATGCCAGTGTTTCCAATTATGTATACTACTAAGGTATAATGAACTACTTGTATGTGTAACTAATGGTTTTACGAGGTTTACCGCTCTGGTAATAGTACAAGAACCCTAAAAGGTATTGTTTGTCAGGCACTCTACTTTTTTATAATAACACTAGAGCGCAGAGGAGTTACATATCCTGTTTAATGTTACAGAACTTAGAAGTGGCAATGTCAGAATTCAAATAGAGTTTATGTGACATTGAAGGCTGCACTGTTCCCTTAAATCCCAATACATGGACACAAGTATAGTACTGGTTCTAATTGGTTTTAATAATACAAGCTCAGTGTCAGATATAGGGGCAAATGCTGGAAGACCAGAGAGGCAAAGAAGCAAATCTCTTCAGCTGAAAAGAGAGATAAAAGAGATCAAGCTACTGTCTCCTCCTGTCTTATATTCCTTTCATTGCCCAGCCATAATACTTCCTGTCTGTCTGTACAGACCCCCCCCCCCAGACCTCTATGATTAACTAGTGGCTAGCTTCATCCTCTGATCTTCAGGCAAGTTTTATTTGTTAGAGTACAAACAAGATATCACCACATACAGGGTCTGTATTTTATTTACCTTTTTTTTTTTTTTTAAATCACATCACAACATAACAAGTAGAATGGGAGTTGGTAAAGGCCATATACTACAATCAGAACTTCAGTAATGGCACAAGTAATAGAACATTATTTTCAGCCTATCAAACTATTCTAACATCCGAATACCCAGGGAAGGTAAACAGAAAAAAATATTTCTAAAATATCCTAACAGCAAATTTAGTAAGCCAAACAGCTAAAGTATGCACAGAAGATGAACACAAGGACTGTGTTTTTACAGACCACTAGTCCAAAGGCATAGCTACCATATCAAAATGTTAAATATGTACTGCTAAAGAGCCAAACTTAATTTATCTGAATTTTAGCTAATTAACTACAAAAGAATAGAAAGTTGCTCAAGAAGAGCTTTCAGTGTTTACAAACAAACAAACAACCCCTCCAAACACACAACAACCCAATCAGAGGGCAGAGTGCTCAAATATGGGGGGGGGTTTAGGAGATAATTTAATAAGTAGTACTATTGGGTAATAAAGTATGGGGAGTAATGGCCATACACATTATAGGCAAAGCAAATTAAGCAAAAATGAAAAAACTTAAGCTCTAGGCAAAAATAGGGATGTAATTGATCATATATTCCATATAATATCAGGTGCCTCCTCTCTCAACGTTTATTTCATACTTTAATGTGTAAACCCCGGACATCAACCTCAACACTGTGGTCATTTATGTTTCTGTCAACTTTCTTAAACAGAAGGTGAAAAACAAAGCACACACAAAGGTAAAGTCACTCTAAGCCTTATTAATTAAGAGAGTTACTGAGGATAATGAGTGATAAAGACATGCCTTATTTATGAAGATATTCTAGTAAGATATTGCATTTCCTACAGAGAATTTATCAAATAACTACATAAGGGGTCCTGGCTTGAGAACTAGTACAGAGGTCTCATCTAGTGTCTGAGATTTAAGGACTCTAATCTGAAGCATGGGCAAGTAGTAATTACACTAAATGGGAGAAGTAATGTTAAATGTTCCATCTACCAAGGAGGCAAACTAAAAGAATACAAATGCAAATCTATGCAGGTTGCTTTCTTAAGATTATTACAATTAACAATTTCTAAGACAAGTTAGAGTCCTTAAAAAGAAACAAATATTATATATACTCAATGATAACATTAGGATTTCAAACAAAATTATCCTCTTCTTTTATGTCTTCACAATATAGCTCCTATATTATTAGCATTTCTCTAAAATAGTAGATCTTAAATGAGAACAATGTTTGGGAACAATACTTTAGCCTGAAACCAACTTAAATTAAAGTTAGCGGTTGATAATTACATAAACTTGGCCATGGTTATCAGAGGTATACATTTTCAAATTTAAAATACTATATGCTTTTATTTTTATTTTTCCATGTTTCCTAAGGAAGAACTTTAAAGGTCACTTAAATGACCCATAAGTGAGGTGACAAGAAATAACAGGAATCATATCACTCCAAGCTAATGTGATAAACTGTTAAAGCTTGGAAGGAATAAATGTTTCAGTAAGAGAATTACATGCCATATCTACAAAGCTTGCATTAACAAAAAACAAACAAAAACAAAAACAACAACAACAACATAAACAAGATAGAGCTGGGCAGTGGTGGAGCACACCTTTAATCCCAGCACTCAGGAGGCAGAGGCAGCCAGATCTCTGTGAGTGTAAGACCAATCTGGCCGGCCTACAGAACGATTTTCAGGACAGCCAGGGCTACACAAAGAAACCATGTCTCAAAGAAACAAAACCAATCAATGAAACAAGCAAACAAAAACACCAGTAGATAAGAAAATGATGTTCATTGATAAACTGGGGATTAAGTAAATAACATAGCATAAAATAGATACCATGTTTTTTTTATAAAAATAGACACAAATCGTTCAATTGTTTACAATTTCTCATTACTCAATAATGGTACTACAAGCCCACATTTAAGCATATTAACTATTTTAAGGTCATTTATTTGTAAATGTTAAGGAAGAGCCACCAAGGTATTTTCCAATATCATCTAATGTACCTAAAGCATCTGGTCAAATCTGGAAGAAGACTCAATGATTATTGCTGACTTCTTCGAAACTATCTTACAGATAAAGGAATTAGCCCAAAATAGGACTAATCACAGCATTGATATGATGAAAAACCCCTCTCATTGCCCAAACCACTCACAGAACACAGTATTCTTGCCTAAATCTTTAAATTTACTCTACAGAGATGGTCACTCTTTCTCAGTGTATCTAAGAATGATTTATATTAGATTCTCTGAGGTGTAACTTATAACTATAGTTTCCCATCAAAAAGTGGTAACAAAAACCTGTAACCCTGGGGTACGCAGTAAGAACCTGTTTCAAAACACCAAACAAACCAACCTAATAGAAACGATTTTGGTAGTATCTAAAAGAATATTTACTCAATTTACTTTTCTTGGTCACTTTATAGTTTTAAAATTACCAGCCTGGCGGTTCTTATGGTTTCTATGACCTTTAGTCATAACCCACCTGTTCCAATTAGAATCTGTGTAAGTTCATGAAAGCAGATCCTTCATTCAGAATATTTCATAAAAAATGTAAGTAAGATGTACGGTAAATGTCTTTATTTCAGCAAATGCTATTACTGCACTACCACAGCCATTTCAAGAAAGGAAGGACGGAGAGAGGGAAGGAGGGAGGGAGGTAAGGAGAGAAGGAGGGGGAGAGGGAAGGAATAAAGAAGTAACCAACAAGAAATATGAGCCATGCAATTTTTTCATGACACTGAGACTAATTACTGAGACCGACACATGGTACGGGAATGGTGCCCAAAGAGTATAAAAATGACCTAAGCAAATAAACACCAAACAGCAATTCATTATCTGCTTTCTGTCACAGGAAAGCATTCTTGTTTCAAAATCACTGTAAGAGGAAAAGCAAGCTGGGAGGCATAAAAAACACTCCTTTATGAACTTATAGAGTTCTTCATGAGCTAAAGCCTGACTATCCTGAGCCTTTGTGGATAGTCCATTCATTCTATTTTATCATTTCTTTCATTTATATAATATGATGGTATTCAGTTGCAAAAGATACTCTATAAGAATCTTAAATCTTGTCAATTTTTACATCACAGAACTACAAATTCACTATGTATTACCTATAACTAGCACTAAATCTTAGCTAAACTAACTACTTATAATACTGTAATTCACCAATGAGAAGTTAATGGTCAGTTCATTCCATTTAGACTATACACATTTACTTTATAAAGAAACAAGTCATTTAAAATTCTAGTTACAAATATTATGGCAGTTGATAATTTCAACAACACTATTTTTAATACAGCCCAAAATAGTCATCTATGAAATACAGGTCAATAAGTACTTGAGAACATCTAAGAAAGAAGAGAAACAGCAATTTCAGTAGCTCTTAAAACTTCATTCAGTTGAACTCTTTCTGTTTCAAGGTAAAACTTAGAAATCGTATAATGGCATTTTACTGAATTTAATTCAGACAAGAGTATATATTAGTAAGTAATAATAACCCTACAAAAAATAATTCAAAAACAAACTAGAGGTAAATAAATGGTGCTCAGCTATTGTAAGAAAGCACGTAAATTTGTACTTTAATCCTGTACCAGTCTGTAGGCCTGATTCTGTTGTAAAGAATTTATTCTCAGATAACAGGGCAGCATAGTTTATGACAACAATCTACCTAAAAACTCATTAAAGTCTTTTCTCTTGAAGTGACATGCATTATCAGCAGAGATTAATCTGATGAGTCTTTAGGTGAACTCCATTTTTAAAAATGCAATAACAGAGGGCTTTGTTGTCATCTGATGAAAATCAATTAGAGGAGGTAAGGCCACAAGGAAAACTAACATCACTCATCACCTACCCCCGGCAGCTGAAATGATTTGTCTTCCAAGCTTGAATGATCAGGAGCTACAGTCATATTGCAGGGAAATTAATTTAGTTTCTATATTCTGAACTCACTTTCCTTGTTCTGGAAGACCTAAACACAAATTACTTTTAATCAAGGTTGATATGTTATTAATACCAAGGAGGATCATTCAAGAATCACTCTCTAAAAAGCAACTTCTATGTTTTCACCCATGTCTGGTGTATGAATATGGTCTGATGTATAAATATAGGAAGGTTATTCATAGCACCCTTACTTTCTGGATTCTTTGTCCACTACAAGGCACTGTACAGAATGGCGAAGACAATAGATTCCACCAAACACAGCACACATTCTAGAAAGAAAACAGAAAAATGAGAATTAGGATAATTGAGTTGAAAATTAAAGTAACAATATTTAGTTATCTTATACAAAGGAATCTGATAATATATAATTTTCACTATCCACTCTAAAATTCCCCACATGTAATATTAACAACTTCTTTATGCAACAAAGGGATCATGATTAATAATACTGATATCTAAAATCTAAGCAAGAGTTAAATGCCCCCCCCTAAAACCAGCTCCTGAATTTCTAAGGGGCATAAAGCACAGATATCCTCCAGAGGTACTGCAAGAGTTACTTGACCACAGCAATAACCAAAACAGCAGAGATGGGTAAAGAAGGATGGAGCAAGAAGACTTCAGGGGACTTTTGGAGAGGTCATTTAGCCTAGAGGTAAATAAAATCTCTAGGAGCCAAGACTACCTAGGAACTGAAAACTAAGAACATGCATGAGTTAATGCAGCAGGAGTTGTAAGGAGTTTGCTTGTGTCAGTCAGCTATGTACTCGTGATTTAACCAGCCATATAGGGAGAACAAGCCTTAAGATCTGAGCAGAAGAGAAATCTTTCATGGTATCTGATTATTTAAGGGACTCCACTTGAGTAAAACGATCTAGGAAAGAAACACACTCATTATGAGAGGTGCACAGGGGATGTGGTGGTGTGACAGAATGCTGATTTGTTTTGAAGCTTGGGGTGGACGAAGCTCATCCCTCTGTACTCACAACAAAGCTTCCACCCTTACTAACACCGAAAATTTGAAATTACACCATTAAATGATCCCAAACTCCAATCTCCAAGGAAATATCAAGAAAAGTGGCTCTCGGTAAATGATAATCCTGGAATTCAAGTAGGGCCACATGCACCTTTCACAGGTCTCACAATGATAATTTTAAGACCTAAAATTACACAGTACAGCAAGAAACATATCAAGCCCAGAATGAGAATTAGCAGACACAATTTAACAGAAGGGTTAAACCCATAAGACCTTATTCAGATAGAATTATTAGGTAGAGGTTATAGGTATCCTTAAAATGGATTAATAAAAAATGTGGAAAAGAACAATGGGGTATCAGAAAGGTAACTATGGTAGGCTGAACAGTCACAACAGCAGATATCCACACCGTCACAGAGATATGTAGACACACTACACTGCCATTGTGAAGGACTTCACAAGTATATTACATTAAGGTGCCTGCCATCAGATAATCCTGGTGAGCACAGCACAATTACAGGGGTCTTCAAAAGAAGAAACAGGAAGGTTTAAGTAAGATACAGAGATGTGCAGATGAACACAGAGGTTAGAGTAATGCTGTTTGTATGAGGTGGCCACATGCCAAAGAATGCAGGTGGCCCTTTTAAACTAGAAAAGGAAAGGAACAGAGCCTTCCTTCGTGCCCTAAGAAGGAATGCAGTCCTGCTGGTCTCTTTCAGACTGCTGACCTTCAGGAATGTAAGATAATAAATTTGTGTTGCTTTATCCTACTTAGTCTGTTAAAGCAGAAATAGAAAATTAGCAGGAAGACATAAGTATACATAGAAATGTTTATGAAAGAAGTAGTACTATGAACCAGGGTAAAGAATGGGGCAGGACAAAAAGACTTGGGGACTGCAGGTTATATTTATTAGAAAACTCATCTCTGATTCGTACTGTGTTCAAAATCAATTTCAGGAGGAGAACAGGCATTAAGTATGAAAAACAAAGCTAGAAGAGAACATAGGAAGATACGAAGTCAGGAAAGATATTTTCTTTTGGTCAACAAAACTAAAACTCATCATAAAACCGAGAAAATAGAATAATTTTAAACATTTAAACATGTAGTATAGACAGTTTTTTTTTTTTTATGGCAAGCCACAGATATGAAGCGATATACAGGTAAATTAGTAGTTATTAAATCTTTCAGTTTGGATAACAATTTGTTGCAATAATCTCAAAATGCATACATTTTTAGAGCAGCAAACCCCATTGCTATGTAGATATTTTAGGTAAACTCTGCTATACACATGGAAGAAGATGTATGCAACTTTTTCTTTCTTCCTATACACATTTTAAGCATCATGGTTAAGAAAGAATTTTGATTGCCTGAGTTCATATGCCAACTACGCCACATGCCAGGTGTGTGACCATGGAAACAGGATAGTCAGTTCCACTGTATCAAATTTCTCTCACTAGCCTTATAATACCACTTATTCACATAGGGTCCTCTTGAAGAATAAGCAAAATAATGTTAGTAAAGAAGTTATAAATTTTATGATATACAGAATTACAAATAGATTATATGTTCATTTTTAAAATGGTGATTTTATGCACCAACATAAAATCAAAATATATAGAGGAGTTTTAAACAATAAATGGCCAATTATATACACAATAAATAAGTTTAGTTTAACCAAAGAATATCTAAGATCTAGCCATTGTCCCCAGCTTCTGGGAGGTAATTTCTATGCCCTCTAAATGTCATGCCTGAAATGAGTGTTTTTGTTTGCCTACAGACACTGATTCAACAGACAGCCTTAAGAAATCAATTTTGGATGAGGGCAGGGTGGACCAGGTAGTTTTAAGATGGGGGTGGCCAGATCCACAGTTTGGTTAAGAGTGAGAGCTTTGGTCACTTGGTAAATATCAACTAAACTCCAATTGGGTGGGCACTGACCTCAGTTCCAAGTGAAGTTATGCCTAAATGTTGAAGCAACAATTTTAAAAAGTTGAATAATGATGCTCAAGTGAGTTTTCTTGGTTGGTCATACATGCTGGTCATATACCTGCATTTGGATAGGCAGAAGGTTCTGATTCTTCAGTGAGGAAACTATACATTAGGAATCCCCTTGTGTGTGAATAATTTAGTTCTATATCCATTCCCTCTAATGAACAAAACCATTATATACCAACTTTCAATGAGTCCTTCAAGCTAATTATCATACCCAGTGTCAATAATGCAAAACTAACAACTATACATTTGGTGTTAGAATTAAGGATATTGTATATGGTGACTACATCCAATAAATATGCAAACAGTTGTCCAAATTCTCATATCATACAAGGGAATACTTTAAGTAATAGAAATATATAAACCTTAATCTCTCACCTATTAATGTGGTTGTGTTTTAAAACTGTAAAAGTTGGGTGACAAGAGAAATTTAGTAAGGAATACTAAAATTTAGTATTACTAAAATTGTCTAACTTCTGGCATCATTTATAAAAAAAAATACAACTTCATATACAAAAATCTTACCATACATTAAAAGGATACACAATATGTAATGCACAAAACTTTGAGAGAACTAGAAACAATACACTGGAATAACAATCCTCTAGGATATGAGAGAATGACAGCTATACAGAAAAGAATCAGTTGCTTCATTTCTTTACTGTTCCTGCACTTGTTTGGGTATCAGAACCTATATCACAGGCTCACAATCATCTATAACTTAGTATCAACCTCTTCTGGCCTCCCCAGGAATCAATATGCACATGTTGCACATAAACACATGCAGGCACACACACATACACATAAATGAAAATAAGTGAGTAAATTTTTAAAAAGTAATTAAAGAATTTGGCCAAATTCTGAGATTGAACAAAACCAAGCGAATACACTGATGATGTCTTTTATTTTAGTCTATATTGAGATTGTATTACAAATCTATGTAGAATGTAATGAAAACTATAAATGGTAGAGATAAATGACATTCATTAAGAAGGGTTTAGTATTTTTCTGTCTTTCCAAATTGAATCCTTTTGGGTGTACATAAGCAGGATAGCTATGTTAGATTAGAGGTTAGGTAATAATTTCCTCTGGCACAAAACATCAGTGCATATGGTAACTGTCTTTTTTTTTCCCCTATTGAGAAAATTAGAATAATGCAATTAAGGACACAATAGAGCCACTAAGCAAAATTTCACATGGTCTTCTATCTTCTTAGTGTTACTCACCAATATGGATGTCAAATTGTGCAGTAATATTTATTAGTCTATCTGATTCTAAAGAGACTTAAAAAATAATCTCCTGGGGGACCGTTTAGCTACATTTGCCATGTGGTATTCAGTCTTCTGTTTTTGTGTCAGAGAGTACTGACCCACAGGAAATCATGACCAAGTTGATTAACATAATCTTCACTGTCAGTTTCCTGCTGATAATGAAAGAGTTCACATGAAACACCATTGGTCTACTTCATACAAATTGTGAATGTGGTTGCAACAGTGTTTTTAAGCTCCTCAGAAGTGGCTAGTGGGGAACTGTTACCACCCCAACCTACAGAATTTTTCATCTTAGACAGATTAGGCCACATTCTCGTGTTTATTCCTCTCCTATCCCTGCATTCTTGCAGCAATAGAAAAAAAAAATTAATGAGACATCAATTCTTCAAAGGGGAAATGGTACTTTTAAATGTCGTCTTAGTTTTGAAAAAATTCTGACTCAATTCAAAGTTGTATATGCTTAAGATGTTATGAAACGTTATGTCATGTAATGTTAACACATTATCAAAAATTGCTAAATGCATTTAAATAAAATGTGATTTTTACAAAGACCACTTTTAAGTTTCTGTATGAAACACAATATTGTTCTTGTATATAGTATTTAGTATCTTTTTGAAAATTAACTGTTAAAATATGAGCTACATGAAGTCTTTGTAATTCATTAAAAATTACCTGGTTTTGAGCATGATATGATCTATCAACTGTTGCTCTATGAACTATAGGAAAAATTTGTAAAAAATGTTAAGGACTAGAAAACCAGATAATGCAAATGACATGGAGTATTACAATGAAATTTAATGGTTACATATGGCCATCCAACTAAATTGTCTCCAAATTTTAAATGAGAATGTAAGCATTCAGTGGTCTTGCAAAGAAAAACAACATCTACTATAAATATCTGAGAATGCAAGGTTACACATTCACAGTCTACACACTGCTTCTCTTTGGGATTGTCTGAGGAAACATATTGTTTACAAGGGTGCTATTTGTTCTCTCACAAACATTTATTTTTCTTAAGCACCTTATGCTTCC